TTTTTTTTAGCAACCCTAAATTGGGGCCGTTTTCTAAAGAAAGGACTATGAACTGATTTGTGTTAAATAAAGTTTTGAAATTACTAACTTAGTTTCAAATAAGACCCCTAGTGAACTCGTGCATCTTACGTGCATCTTCGTGCGATGCACGTGCATCTTTCATAAAATGCACGGGCTGGTTGGTTGCGATGATTTTGCCAATCGGTGAGTTCGGGGGCTTATTATAAGTATAGATGAATATTGTTGTTAGTAGATTTTGAAATAAACTATACTAGCCGTAATCGTAGTTCATGACCAACGGGGAATTGTTGTAATCGTAGGCCCAAGGCGAGGTCATGTTTTTGTAGCCCGAGCTCAGACTAGTTGGCAAAAAAGTCGCAACTCTTGTGAAGTTGGAAAGCAAGAGAGGTGATCCTAAACATCTCATCAGCTCGTAGGACTTGTTGTACACGCATATTTTTCAATAAAGAGACAAGTGTTGGATCACCTCGTACTCGCCTTCTAGATCCCTTTAAAGCGTAAACTTCCCTTGTTTCGGTTCATCATGACTTTCCTAAAAAGTCATCTTGAATTTATCGGTCATCAGCATCCTCGAAAGGAACGTGTCCATTGGATGATCGAAGCTTTGCCAGAAGATGCTCTCGCTCTGGTTGTCTTTCATCAACATTAGATTCCCTGAATTTAGAAGCTTCACAAGCAGGGTCAAAGAGCTCGAACCCTTGATTTTGATCAGACGCATCTTTCATTGTCATCCCAAAACTTGAGTTCGCTATCCACGAAGCTGAACGACCCTACGGGGCCGACGAGCGGGTCATATCAGTTGGCGACTAAGACAATGATCCAAGGGTCCAACTTATAATACCATATTCCTGTGTACATCCTGAGGTCGGAAATTCCTTTCTGGGAAAAGAAGTCGATCTCGAACCTCTTGCCAGTGGACACATAAGTGGCCCCTCCTGGGTACGTGATAGTGCCTCCACTTAGGGTATCCATGCTCGAGCAAAGTGAAAGGAGCATCACAAATATGAGAAAGCAACGAGTGAAGGGGTCGCCATTGGTGGACTAATACTTCATCGTAGAAGCCATCACTTGCTCTTTCTCTCTCACTAGACCGTGGCAAGTGTTTTTTACCCCAGAAAGCTTTTTTCAAGATTTCATAGTTGTCTCTTGCTATGTATTTTTTTGGTAACCCTAAAGTGGAGCCGTTTTCTAATGAAAGGACCATAACCTGATTTGTCTTAAATAAAGTATTGAAATTGCCAACTTAGTTTCAAATAAGACCCCTAGTGAACTCGTGCATCTCACGTGCATCTTCGTGCGATGCACGTGCATCTTTCATAAAATGCACGGGCTCGTCGGTTGCGATGATTTGGCCGATCGTTGTGTTCGAGGCCTTATTAAATGCATAATGAATATTGTTGTTAGTAGATTTTGAGAACAAATTATAGTAGCCGTAATCGTAGTTCATGACCAACGGGGCATCGCTGTAATCGTAGGCCCAAGGCAAGGTCATGTTTTTATAGCCCGAGCTCAAACTAGCTAGCAGCGAAGTAGCAATCCTTGTGAAGTTGAAAAGCAAGAGAGGCGATCCTAAACATCTCATCAGCTCGATTTGTTATACACCGTATTCTTCCAATAAAGAGACAAGTATTGGTTCACCTCGTACTCGCCTTCTAGATCTATCTAAAACGTGAACTTCCCTTGTTTTGGTTCATCATGACTTGCCAAAGAAGTCAGCATTAAATTCATCAGTCATCAGCATCCCCGAAAGGAACGTATCCAACCTCCAGAAGATGCTCTTGCTCTAGTTGTCTTTCATCAACACTAGGTTTCCTGAATTTAGAAGATTCACAGGCAGGACCAAAGAGCTCAAACCCTTGATTTTGATCAGACGGATCTTTCGTTATTCATCCCATAACTTGAGTTCGCCATTCACCAGGCCGAATGAACCTACGGGGCTGATGAGCGGGTCATCTCGATTGGTGACCGAGACGATAATCCGATATTCATATGTGCATCCAGGGGTCAGAAATCCCTTCCTGAGAGAAGGAGCCGATCTCGAACCTCTTGCCAGCGAACACAAGAGTCGCTTCTCCCGGGTACGTAATAGTACCTCTAGTTAGGGTATCTATGCTCGAGCAAAGTGGAAGGAGCATCACAAATATGAGAAAGTAACCAGTGGAGGGGTCGCGATTGGTGGACTAATACTTCATCGTAGAAGCCATCACTTGCTCTTTCTTTCTCATTAGACCGTGACAAGTTTTTTTTAGCTTAGAAAGCTTTTTTCAAGATTTCATAGTTGTCTCTCGCTATGATTCTTTTAGAAACCCTAAATTGGGACCATTTTCTAAAGAAATGGTCATGAGCTGATTTGTGTTAAATAAAGTCTTGAAATTGTCAACTTAGTTTCAAATGAGACCCCTAATGAACTCGGGTATCTCATGTGCATCTCACATGTATCTTCGTGCGATGTACGTGCATCTTTCATGAAATGCACGGGCTTGTCGGTTGTGATGATTTGGCCGATCCGTGAGTTCAGGGCCTTATTAAATGCATAAATGAATATTGTTGTTAGTAGATTTTGAGAACGAATTATAGTAGCCGTAATCGTAATTCATGAGCAACGGGATGTCGCTATAATCGTAGGCCCAAGGCAAGGTCATGTTTTTGTAGCCTGAACTCAGACTAGCTAGCAGCGAAGTAGCAACTCTTGTGAAGTTGGAAAGCAAGAGAGGTGATCCTAAATATCTCATTAGCTCGTAGGAACTTATTATACACCACACTTTTCCAATAATGATACAAGTGTTGGATCACCTCATACTCGCCTTCTAAATCCCTTTAAAGCGTGAACTTCCCTTGTTTTGATTCATCATGACTTTCCTAAGAAGTCATCTTGAATTTATCAGTCATCAGCATCCTCGGAAAGAACGTGTCCGTTGGATGAGCGAAGCTTTGCCAGAAGATGCCCTTGCTCTGGTTGTCTTTCATCAATACTAGATTCCCTGAATTTAGAAGCTTCACAGGCATGGCCAAAGAGCTTGAATCGCTAATTTTGATCAGACAAATCTGTCGTTGTTCATCCCATAACTTGAGTTCGCTATCCACGAAGCCAAACGACCCGTAGGGTTGACGAGCGGGTCATCTCAGTTGGCTACCGAGGCAATGATTCGAGGGTCCAACCTGTAATAACTTATTCCTATGTGCATCCTGGGGTCGGAAATCCCTTCCTGATTGAAGAAACCGAGCTCGAACCTCTTTCTAGTAGACATAAGAGTGGCACCTCCCGGTACGTGACAGTGCCTCCACTTAGGGTATCTATGCTCGAGCAAAGTGGAAGGAGCATCACAAACATGAGAAGCAACGAGTGGAGGGGTCGCCATTGGTGGACTAATACCTCATCGTAGAAGCCATTACCCGCTCTTTCTCTCTCACTAGATCATGGCAAGTTTTTTTAGCTTAGAAAACTTTTTTGAAGATTTCGTAGTTGTCTCTCGCTATGTTTATTTTTGGCAACCCTAAAGTGGGGCCGTTTTCCAGCGAAAGGGCCCTAAGTTGATTTGTCTTAAATAAGGTTTTGAAATTGCCAACTTAGTTTCTAATAAGACCCCTAGTGAACTCGTGCATCTCACGTGCATCTTCGTGCGATGCACATGCATCTTTCATAAAATGCACGGGCTTGTCGGTTGCGATGGTTGAATTGAAGGTGGGTTGATAATGGTTACAAGCTTCTTGTCAAAATAATATTTAATTAATTTTTTGATTTTTTGTTTTTTTTTTTACTGAGTGCCGACCTTGTTGGCTAATAAGTAAGGGCTTGCGAACCCTTGCTTTATCTGCGAGGGGGTGAGGGCCGCCATCGCCGGCCAATGCAAGAGCTTTAAGCAAAAGTAATTGTAGAAACTTGAAAATTTAATTGATGAGTTCACAAGATAAATTGTGTGTGTTGATAATCGAAACTTTTTCACAATGACTCAACACGGCTTATACAGCCTATCACAAACTGGAATGTCTCCTAAGCGGTTAATTTCTAAATAAAAAGTTACAACCGCATGGCCATGATTTTTTTACTTCATTATCACCTCTATAGCTGCATATCATCTTATTTATAAGCAGTTACAACTCTTTAGTTGTTATTGGCCTCAATTTCGAGTTCCACAGTTGCTGTATGCTATTGCATGTCATTTTTCTCTACGAACTATTAATGACTCATCAATCTGTACCTTTATTGTTTTCAATGACCTACCTTTAACTCATACTAAATTTACTATCAATCGCTAACTAATTGTCATCATATGTCGACAAGAGCACTTGGTCACCGATATCGATGATCCTCAACAAACTCCTCTATCACTGCTATCCCGCTATTCGTGTATTTGCTCAACACCAAGCCTATCATTCAAGCCCATCTAATACCAAAGCAAATGCAAGCACAAGTGCTATCTTCCGTCCGGCTGAAAACTACACGAAATGGCACCATGAAATACCCCACTTGCTAGATCCACAAAGCCCCTTTTTCTTCTCTTTCCTTCTTTTCATTGACCAATTGGAATTATAAATTCGTTCCCGACACCATTCCATCGTCTTCTTTAACAAATTTCATATGGTACCCGAAACAATTAGGTCGCCCTACAACTTACACCTAATTCATGACATGATTTGACAAAGATCTACCGTGTTAAACCAAGCTTTCTCAATTTCTTATTTTTTGGCCCAATATTCCCAGTCATCCTCATATTTTAATATATATGTAAAAACTAGAGTGCACGAAAGACAACAACAAGATCAAAGTGGCGCAGCGGAAGCGTGGTGGGCCCATAACCCACAGGTCCCAGGATCGAAACCTGGCTTTGATATAATTCAGAGTGGCTTCCCTGACACCCTCTTTTTTGCCCTTTTTCCATTTCTTTTAATTTCTAATTATTATTATTATTATTAGTATTCTATTTTCATTATTTTTGTTTCTTTGTATGCCATCCCAGAATTTTCAGATCGTCGTCGCCTCCTCCCTCCTTCCCAACGATCCCGGCGGACCGTTTCTCTTCTTCTTCCTCTTCTTCTTCTTCGTCTTCTTCTTCTTCTTCAGATGGACTACGATTTCAGGAACAGCGCGCAGTATCCGCTGTACAGGACCGCCTCGTCCACGCCGTCTTCCGCGCCTCCGCCGCCGATGATGTACGGGCACTCCGGGTACCCCAAGGTGGCGGCCCCGCCGCACGCCTCCGCCGCTCGCGCCTCCCCCTATCCACACGCCGCTCATCCTCCTCCGTCCTCCTCCTGTAAGCTCCCGCGCGCGCGCCTCTCTCTCTCTCTCTCTCTCTCTCTCTCTCGCTGTAGCTTGTTGCAGCGGCAAAAGAAGTTATGCCGAATTGCTTTATGTTGCGATCGGCGATTTGATTGGATTCGATGGATTAGCTGAGGATCTTGCCTTGTCGGCTGTCCCTGGATCGAAATGATTCGTTCGCTTCTGGTTTTGACTAATGATCGGCAGCTCCTTTCCGTGCATATGCCGACTGAACTCTCTCTCTCTCTCTTTCTCTGCTTGATTTTGGCGGTTCAGCGGCAGGATTGGGCGTCAGGGTTGCTATCAAGCCAGAGTACAGGATTTCTCCTCCGGTGAGTTTTTTATTTTTATTTTTATTTTTGTAACATGTTATGGTTGATGTTGTTGTTGTGATCGTGCGAGGTTCATTTACATTTTACTGTTGCTGCTTTAAAAATTCCTGTGGATATGCTGTACGATGGGCTTGGTTTCGTCGTTTAATTCCTTATCAATGTGCGACCATCGAGACGAACCTGGAAATTATGCTCTCGATGATGTGGTGCCAAAAGTCTTGGTATCTGATGGTCTGTACTTGCCGATGCATCGCACAAATGAAGAACTGAGCGATGAACGACTTTGTTTGTTGTTCTTCAGATGGGTTTATGGGCTTGTTATCAAAGTGAGAAGCAGATAATGTCGCCTCTTCTGCCTTCACTACTGTTTCCCCTCTATACTGGAGAATGTGCCTTCACCTGTTAAATTTGGTCGTGGCGACGTCATTGTTTATAAACTGGGAAGAGTTTCAACCGATTAATGCTATGCACATTGATTGCCCGTGTGGAATTTTTTGTTACTTTTAGATATTAATGAAAAAAATGACGAGTGTGTATTTAAGGTCCTTAGTTTGGGGATAATCTCTGCTCCTATCTTATTGGGCATCGATTTCTCCTTTGAAATAAACATCTCCCGCACATAGTGTCACGCCAAGAAAGGCATAGTCTTGCGCATGTTTTACATAGAACCACGGAGTTAAGTCTCATCTATAAAGAGCGCGACTGCGTGAGTACTGTTCTAGTCTGCTGTGCAAGACATTTTCCTAGAGCTTAGTGTCTCTTGAAGAACAGGTTGCATACAAATGTTGTTCTAGTCTTTTTGCTTCCGAAGACTTTCTTGGCTCCGTCCTTATTTGCGTACCAATTCGACATTATAAAATGGATATGGTCGGCTGAATAGTAAGTACGTGGGGTTTGAGACCTGATATCTCGTCGTATCTTTCTGCAGTCTGTCCTGCTTCCGTGCTAGTTGTTATTCTAGTTTGGTTTATAGTTCTGTAACATATATTTATTATTTTTAGGCATTTGGTTTTCTCATTCTTACGTATCAAAATGTTTCTAGCCCCATCTTTCTCCACAAGTTGGAGAGATAAGTCGAAGCAACTTCCAGTTTGACTTTGACTTTGAGAGAAAAATTTTAGCTGAGGCAGAGAAAGAAAGCCAGAACTGGAGCAGGCTTGCCACGGAAAATCTTCCATCACGAACCACCGAGCCAACTCAATCAGTATGCACTCCTATTCTTCTGTTTAGCTATATGATGTTGCTAGGTTGTGGATGTTTCCCACAACTGTTTTATCTTAGTGCTATATAAGTAGTCAAGATGGAGGTGTGTTTCAGGTTAGGCCTGAAAGAAGTCGGTCATTCTCATTACCTAAGATCATGGACATTTAAGTTTTTGTCAAGGAAAATGCTAAATAGTTGAAGAAAACTCAATAGACTTTTATGATTATGTGGGAATATTTTTTTAAAAAAAAACTCAATTTATTTGGTAATTAGTTTTGGATGTATGATATTTTGGTTCTAGTGATGTCATCTCGTAATGAGTTCAACCTCTTAAATAGATGTGTTTAGCATTGAGAAACTTAGCCCTTTTCAGTTAACATCGGTTATTGTTTTGATTTATATTTTTCATATTCTAACCTAGGGTCGTGGTGGCGATCCAGTCGTTAGTAAATACATTGCCTCCGGGCTTAGTCCTGAAGCTGTTTCTCTGGCAGTTGCAAATTACGGGGACACTCCTGTTAAGGTACTTTTTCCATCTTTCTAGAAGGTTAATCAACCTTCTTTCATATTGGTTTAGATCTTTCGGTACCGTGGCATTAAAAAGGCACATTCCTCCATTAGAATCTTGGGGTCCGAATCATACACTGGTGCAATTACATAATTAAGCCAGGCATAGCATAGATATACCCCCCTCTTACAAGCATGTGACGGGTGCATCCGGCATCTAATTCGACTCTTATAAATTGCTTCACGTTCTGCTATCCAGGTTCGGGAATTCGTAAATGGGTACACTCTTTTGCGGGAAATGGGGTTTTCGTCTAGCAGTGTTGCGGAAGCCTTGGTCACATATGATAACGACACCGAAAAAGCATTGACTCATTTCCTCAATGGCTCATCTTGATGCTAGCTGATGATATTCCAGATCATATTTTGCGGAAGTGATGTTTCTTTTTCTTACTGTATAGTCTTCTATGCATGATGAAGTATGTCAAATTACAGGTTGACAATAATATACATCATGTGAAAAAGGATCTAATGGCTGGGACATGGTCAAAACAATGTCTAATGGCTTGCGTCCCAGCTTAGACTTAGAGGACACATTTTAGAGAGGCACACTGTTGTTGATCTAAGCATTCTGGGATACATTGCGCTCAGGATTGTACTCGTATTAGTAATAAGGATCATCAATTACCGTTTTTTGGAATATACGTTCTGTTTCTTCATATGCCAATCATTTATGCTCTGCCGTATATGACGGTCCAGCTTATCACATGGGTCTTATTGTACTAGTCCAGTGGAAACGAGTGAAATAAAGCTCATCTCGACATCTGCCCAGTGTCTTACTGTTTTCTATATTTCGGACTGCTTTCTTGGTTTCTACAAGTGCCCTTCAAGTGCTGCGCAAAGAGGTCTCTCGACTCTGACCAGTGTCTTACTGTTTTCTATATTTCGGACTGCTTTCTTGGTTTCTACAAGTGCCCTTCAAGTGCTGCGCAAAGAGGTCTCTCGACTCTGATCTTGCATTTCAGTGGAGGAAGTATATTCACCGTCATCTCGTAGAAATGAAAAATAGCAAATGATATCGACTATAGTACAATCTCTCGGTAGCACGTTGACTCTATTAAATGGGGCTGAATCTCCTCTGTCACTATAAATGAAAGAATAATGACCCATTTGATAGACACTTAACTCAGAGAATGTTGTTCTGCATCCAGCATGGGACCTATTTAGGGCCTTAAAAGTATTCATCTTTTGAAGCCTTCTTCAGCAACGAGCTAACATGCCGAAGTTGAAAAGGAGGGCTGCCAAATCTCCAGTTCCATACATCACCTCTCCACCAATCAACCTAAAAGGGTCGCAGAATTCTATATGCAAAGAACTCTTGAAAGAATCAATGGGCCTAGTGCGAAGTATAACCCTGGTATCGCAAGCGACGCGTCAAGCACCTGCACAGATTGCTCCTGAAATAGGGAAACAAAATCAAATCGTGCAGTGATAAACAGCATCTCTTGTGTCCCGCCCCCGTAACAGGAACCGGCAGAGAGAGAGAGAGAGAGAGAGAGAGAGAGAGAGAGAGAGAGAGAGAGAGAGAGAGAGAGAGAGAGACCTGTTGACCAAGATGAGCAGCAAAACTTTGCTTCATCAATATGCATGACATCAAGCCCGATAAACCAGGAACCAACGCTCACATCGTCATGTGCATATGTACGAAGAATGGATCTGCACGATAGAATTACTATGAATCCATCCAGGCAATTGCATAGAGCTAATTGAGTATAAGCAAAACAGAAAGGAACCTACCTATTTATCGATACAAATTTTGCCAAAGCTCGTGATATGACAAGCAACTCCCCTGAAGCATGGCGAAAGTATCTGCATGGTCATGAGACGAAACTTCTCACACACATAAGGAATATGAAATACTAAGTATAAGATACAAAAGGCAAACATGTGAGAATCCCTAAATAAGAAAACCTTTAAGTGGTAACCATTTTAATGCTCAATTTTTCCGAGTGAAATCCTAATACCGAGTCCAGGGCAGACCCCAATTATGTGTCACGTTCTTCACCGAATTCTCATTTGACAAATTTCTTAATGCTACTGCAGGCTGCAGCAGAGACTCATCCCTCAAGTCTCCACTTCCTCTGGACTTCATATTCTGAAAACTTATATTCATAAGCGTGTTTACTTATGTGCATGTACATGCACAGATATGGTTCAATCAGTCACGAAGAAATAACGACTAATCAAACTAAGATAATTGCATATTAAGTGCAGCAAGCGGATTGCAGGCTCTTGTGACATCACCAGAATTTCCCTCACAAATTCATTATCGGTTCGATCATGGACAATTAAGTAATTTGCTGCACCACGATAATTGTAAAAACTCCTTGGATCAAAGGAGCAGCAAACATCTTGCAGAGAAGTCCCCGTGGAGTAATATGCCACCTAGACCTAGTATGAGCTGCACAATTATCAATTTTTATGTCTGGGATGGGTTTATACTTTCTGATGGATCAATGACCATTGGTTGCGAATACTCCTTAGCAAATGGAAATATCAATGCATGATCTTCTGGATCTAAAGTTGCGAGAGAGAAAGGAAATCAGCTATATAAGACTTACGATTTTTTATCACCAAATTTCCACCAGTCTGGTTCATACCATTGATGTCCCCTGCAAATACTCAGCCAAAGTAAGTTAACAAACGCAAAAGGTAAGTTAACAATACATGTATCCAGGATGAAATGCTCACCGCTCAGAGAATACTTCGCCTGACTTCATGCACCCTATATAAACACGAGGCTTGTCCAAGTGAGCCGCAAGTGCAGTCAACAAGGCATCTGTTGAGAGAAGCACAATAAACGGAAATAATCTTAACATGCACTGTAGTAGCAGAGGGCAAATATCTGATACACAAATTACAGTTCAATTAGAGATGACAAATCAGTAAATTTTAACATTATTTTACCAGGAACCTAAGGGGCAAGGGTTGTGATCCAAGTCTATGCCATGTATATCACATTCTAAACTCTATCTACACGACAATTGAACTGACCGATATTTACATAGACATCGTCCTTCACTTTAGCATAGAACTCAGCGTCCCATGTTTCAGCAGCATGAGCAAAGAACAGTTTTGTCTTCTTTGGAGTCTTGTCAGGTGCCTCAACATGATTATCCTGTTACACAGACAAATCAACAATCTTGAAATTACATCATCAAATCATGATTCATCCAAGAGGACCACAGCAAAATCAAGGAATAGTAATGTAGAAAACTAACAGAATGCATTCATGGCAGTCATGGTCAGATTGTGTCCACAATCAGCAAAACACTGACAAACTGGAGTTTGATTTGAAAGCAAAAGTGATGCAAGCTATGTAGAGGATGGTGTCAAATAAGATGGAGAAGAAAACGAGTTTCTGCATAACTATGACGAAACCAACTTGCACAAAGCTATGCTCAACTTAAACGTTCTCAGTTTCATATACCGAAAACATCCTTCTAATCAGGTTTTGGCTCTTTTCTCATCGAACACTAATTTTCTATGAGTTAATAAGATGCATTTCTTCAGCTCCTATCCTACTCATAAGCACATGAGATGGCAAGCACATGAATTTTCTGCCTCATAGATTTTCTTGCAGATTTCAATGACCCCCAGAAGATTTTCTCAATCAAATTGTGATAAATATGGATATTATTTAGCTGTGTAAGAGAAAAACTAACAACAGTCATAGCTCAATTCAGCAATATCATTGATATGCAACTATAAATTATTGCCAAGGCACGAACAAGAATGATGAAGTCATTAGTCTGCCTGTTTTCACTGTCAATCGCCCCATCCAAGCTGTCTCCCTTATCTGCACTGCAAAGTAAATCATACAAGATTTTAATCTATCATCCGAGAGGAAGAGCGGTATAGCTGGTAAACATGAAAACCTCATACCTTCTTCCAATTACAAAACGAACGATGATGCCTTTCTCATCCTCCAACGTTTTTAGAGCCGTACCTGTGAAGAGAAAGTATTCCATTTACAATTTGAAATAGAACGTTAAAGCTTTCCAAATTAAGGAACAAAAAATTATAAGCACGGCGTATCCATGATAAATCAGATTAATCAATGCATCAATAAGCAAACTTTGGCCTTTACAGTATGTCCTTGGTACTATTAGACCCTAAGCAATAGGCCTAGAGGTGTTGAATAAGGTAGGGATTGGAGAGTAAGTTCGAAAAAACTCCTGCCAAGAGCAAAAAGAGGTCACTGGTGCTACCTTGCACACCAGCTCCCCTAGAAAACATTATCTACATTCTGAACTCCTTTTCCACTACAGGGAATTTTTATCCAACTTTCGATTTCATTCAACCAAGCCTTCCCTAAACTATTTTAAATTGGTCGTATTGCTCGGAGGGAACTTGACAAGTATGGCAGAAACAGTTTCTTCTCCTTAGAATATGTGGCTCGTAAATAGAACACAGACATTCAATATGCCGGAAAGGGATGGGCAGTGTTGCTGTCAGTGAGATGTCACACAAATGCTGAATAGAGCATAGACAGACTAATTATCTCAAAATGGTAGGTTAAACCAATACATGAGGATTAAAAAGGAGAAACTAATTTATGCATTGGATTACTTCAGTAAGTATAAATATCAGTGAGTCTGCCAACAAGAGCAAAGATTGCTTCCATACCACTTCCCATCCATGCCTTCCGAATTGCATCTCTGTTGTTCTTGCGGCCAAATCTTGTAAATATTCCTACCACAAGTAGCGGTCTTTTCTTAGAATCATCCACTGAGTGCTTAGAGATGAAACCCTCTTTTTTAGCTGCAGCCAACTCCATCTTTAGGGCTGATAGTTTCTTGTGTTGCTCCCTAGAAAGCCAAAGATGTTTCACAACACTCACTGAGAAGAAATCCTCATATTATTCAAGAAACAACTAGCGGGACCTCAAGACGAGCACTGAACAGAAAAATGATTAAATAATCTTGATATGAGTCTGATGCCAGTAGGCAGATACTTTACCTGCAGTTGATAATCTTCAATGTGTCATCCACCGATATAGCAGATCGCCCCTATCATCAAGAAGACACTGCTCAGCTTAGTCATTTTGGTCACCCCAGGCTCAGCATGGAATGCACAACATTTTAAAATGGAACACACATCGATTTACAAGTCATGACAACGTCTACTGTTTTGTACTTGAATTCAGGGATAATTCCTTTAAAAAAAAAAACAATAACTGGAGCTAAGCAGCACCCAAATTGTCAACAAGTTTTGTAACCAAAATGTCTGGCTGTCTAAATTGTGATCCCAAACTGTTATCCAATATATTGGAGAAAAGTCTGAATTGGCGCCGAGTGGAACGTGTAAATCTATCTCTATCACACACTACCTAACAAAGAAGGCGAACAAAATGAACCACCCGGACTCAAATCAGAAACACTGTATAGGCAAAGCAAAATGCTCACCTGACCAGTTATCCTATCGAGCTGCTTGATCAAGTCAACCCTGCTCTGCGAATCCTGCCAGAGCCTAACACCAAAACAGACGGACACATTTTCAGAAGCACGCACTGGCACACAGCACTTCAATTCGAAAAGAGCTGATTAAGAGTAAAATCAGGATGCACGTCCAGCAGGCACTTAAATTTGCACATTCACATGTGAATCATTTAAAGCATTACGAACCGGCCAGCGACGTATAAGGAAGCGAACGTGGCGAACATCGACAGCATCAGGCTCGAAATCCGCGACCGAGACACCATTCCCGACAACCGATGACTCGATCCCCTGCTATGCATCTTCTCCTACCTCTCCGTTACCGCAGCGCCGGTCGGTCCTTCAAATTCGACGCGGGAGTGAAAAAGGAGAATCAACGCCGATGGAGATCTCCGGCGACGCCGGAAACGTGACGCGGCTGGGGCGAACGGAGATCAGGCCGACGGATCAAACGTGGAGTTCCGAATCGAATCGAGCGTCGGAGGTTTGCTGGAATCGAACGAAGAGGAAGGGAGCTTGGCGGATCGTGAGGGTTTTGAAATGGCCGGAGCCTGAAGTGGTAACTGCAATGTGGATGTTAATGCGAATTCATGAGTCGACGCGCGAGCAGAAGCGATCGTCGTCGTCAGTGTCGAAGGGCGAAGGACGAAGGGGGATTCCGTTGAAGCTGTTGGCCGGTCGTCGTCCAAAGGTTGGAGTCGCTAAACGGTTCTAGTTTGTTTGTATTGGGTACGGCCCAATTTGTTGTGGGCTTTCTCAGGTGTGAGGCCCAAGTCGATTGGACCTCAACAATTTTCCCTTGGGCCAGAAGGATCGACCATCTCAAACCTCAAATAATTCAAATCTATCATGACACGGTTAACTCGAAACTTATACAAGTCGATGCCTTCCGGCCCATTCTTTATTATCAAGCTAAAATTTGCGGATGCTCAAATGTAATCCTGTACAAGAAACATAGAGAGAGGAGATGTCAACATAGTCTTTTGGAATCGTTTGCGTAACCATAGTCATTCAATGGTCTTTTAGACTAAGAGGTGGCCTAATTCCAAAAAAAAAAAACACCATCTTTAGGTCGAGGAACAATTATGACCCGAACTTTTTTTTGTCCCACAAAAAGGTACCAATTTTAGGTCGAATGACAATTCTGGGCTCAACTTTTTTTTGTCTCGTAAAAAAGCACTAACTTTCACTTAAATCCCAGATCTAGCCCCCATTGACTTAGAACCATTGATTATCTAACTTGACTATTCCACCTTAATAATAAATCCACGTGGCTTGCTGACTGGATTTAAAGCACTATTCATTGTCTTATTCTTTGAACCACAACTTGAAGAATAACGGTGAAACTGTTTGTCTCCTTCACTTTACCGGCAAGTCAAAAATATCTCCAGATTGAATCTCTTTGGTCAGATTTCGTCGTTTTTTCATAATCTAAAGCTGTAGACCATAGTCCGTCGATAGACGCCATGGATGAGATTCATCAAGCTCACTACCATAACCTTTTTTCTCAAACAACGGTGACTTAAGACAGAAAGTCAACGGGGGGTCAAATTTGGGATCAGGATGAAAGTTAGTGATTTTTTATGACACAAAAAAAAGTTGGGGTTAGAATTATCACTCGATCTAAAGTTGGTGCTTTTTTATGAGACAAAAAAAAGTTCGAGCCAGAATTGTCTTTCGACCTAAAATTGATGCTTTTTTTTGGAATCAACCACTAAGAGGTTCTGATAACGACCTCCCATGGCGATCTCCCGTCACATGCGCCGACGACAAAGCTTGTCTTCCTTTCGACCGGCATACGGTCACCATCCGAATTGGTACGTGAAGCGTTTTTCACCGTATGACTGTAAGGAAAAGTTTACAACCGCATTATGTTGGTCCATATTGCAATTTCACCTTGCAAAAAGAACCAATTATTCAACAATTGAAAGTGAGGAGGGCATTCAAAAAGTACATGGACTGTCAATACAAGGTGCATGAACAATCTCCCTGCCAAAGCCGGAAGACGCAGAGATTTCGATACTTCGAGCTCATTGTGCTCCTTCTCCTTCGCAGGACACTGTGTCCAAACCAACGGGACCTCGACAACAAAGTATGGCACTTGTTCTTAAGGTCCACCAAGAATAGCATTCTCAATATCTTCTCTACTCAATGCATAGCTGAATCTTCTCTCCACGTCTTTCTCAAGGTTTCCTGGTCCACTTTTCAGGTATCTGCACAAAGAATTTGGAAATCTAACAACAAGGAAATTAGGGCACTCTGGAGTTTAAAAGAAATCATATGTTAAAAGCAGTAATGCACGAGGCTTCTGATCTATTTCATTTTAGTAAAACCAAAAGAAGGAACTGTATTCAAAACAAAATACATCACCAAATATATCATGTAACACTTATATCACATGCCATGCTATCATGGTACGTAATTTACTCTGCACAACACATGATCTATTGGATTATCCGATATCAGCAGGCCGCATGATACCCTTGTTACATTGGATACCTTCTCAATTCCAAAGCAAAAAATAGCTCCTTTTCTCTCTAATCTTGATAAAGAAGGGAAAAAATTGGTCTAGAAGTGACTGGAAGTTAAGATTCCTTTTTCGTGTAAAAGAAAAGCACTCCCTTTTTCACTGCCTATGTTGTCTTATCTCTTTGAAGTTTCATTTATCTAGAGTGCACCACAAAGCATGACCAGAAAAACCATGACCAGAAACACCCAAGAGGAGGGAAGTATTCAGTAGCCATGTTTGTCAGATGCATATGCATATGCATATGTGTGAAACAAACATATATTCTACTAGCCGAGGAGAGAGGAAATATCACTGAGGAGCTAGATTCAATTGGCTCATGCGAACTCATCGAGAATTATGAATGTGAACAGAAAATCTAATGAAGAACCTGAATAGAAAGGAACTGATCAACCAATTTACAAGCTCTAAATAATTTTCCACGGTAATCATTTCAAGCAACCGCATTTAAGTTATAGAGAGCCAAACACCATTTTATTTTCGGTTTCTACGGATCTACAGCTATAACTCTTGACAAATTGTCCAAAAAGAAAGAGAGAAGTGCCTGCTGAGCAAAACCATGCAGTTCAAACAAGCAAATGTCTCAAGCAAATAAAGATTTTCCTAGTGTCAAGCCACATATCATCATCTTAGAACAGAAGGGCAGTCTAGAGATGCCAGTTTAAGAAAAGAGAGCAACTAGCAATTTCCAAGGGTATTCTGTTCGTGAAGTGGCTAATGAGATGCGATAACATCTTTTTCAGTTCTCTCGTTTACTTTCTATCTGTTTCTTGGGTGACAATCCTTCTTGTTCTCTGTTCAGGATCCATCTTCTTACTATTTGGCCAGCTGGGAAAACACAACCCTTCATGAGATCAAACTTTAGGCTCAAAGGCAATCTCTCATCCAGGTAATTAATTTCTCTATAACCTGAATTGAATGACAATGGGATGTTCAAGTAATCTCCAGCTAAACAGATTCTAGGAACTCAAAACAACCAAGAACTAAGTTGACGAATTAACTCTAAACTTTGGGCGGTTCAGTTGCCTTCGTATCCCCATTCAATGGACGTTACAGAACTAAGTAACCACAAGATTAAAAAAAAAAAAAGGACAATCTTTGTGTAGAACCTGCCCACACAGCAACATTGATAGTGTGCAAAGCATGTGTACCTCCTAAGAATGTTAGGAGAGGCAACCCCTGTTAGGAAAACCTCATAATAGATTTTGATGTTGACAAAATTATCCATGAGTAAGTCTGACATATGCTTTTGAAGTATTCTAAGTCCAGGAAGTTATATTCTGGAAATCCAAACTTTACATGAATTAGAATGAGAAGTTCAGGTTCTGCAACGCAAAAGACAAAGTTCATATTTTATATATGGCAGTTGAAGAACTTCAGTTTATATATTGGAATCAAAAGATTCAAATTTTACAGAACAATCCATTTTGACTCAAGTTCTGAAATGCGAAATAGGAAAAAGACTTTATCCAGACGTTATCGCAAACTTAGAACACACACAATGGTTAGTAATCTGGCTTGAATTTCACCAATGTAGAGTATTGATTGATTCGATCTTAAACGGCTATTTTGCAAGGAATATTTACATTGCAAAATATCTTTAATTGATTAACAATCAATCCCATGACAAGTTTATTTCTAAATGGAGAAGCTCTGCTTATGGAAATCAAAGTTCTGGTTGTATGGGCGACTAGATTCAGTAGGATTTAGATTTTGTCACTCAACGGGCTACTCAATCTTTTTTATACAAATCTGTTCAAGGTGAAGATTGGAAGATGATCCTCTGAAGACTATCTAACGGTTAGTTTGGAAGTGGAAGAGTATAAAAGGAGACAAATTGTAGAGGCGCAGAAGTAGAGAGACGATATCCAGAATCATCCATTCCAAAGTTTGAGCATACTCCGACCAGTGTGACTTGTCTTTCTTGAGCTAATCTGTGATATTGAGACCTATTATAAGAGTGATTGAGTGATATAGAGTGACATATCTTTTATAGAAAAGTCATCACTCAGAATTTTTAATCTCTTGATTGAACATCTAGTGAAATCTAGCCAGTAGGCTGTCAGCGTGGGAGAGTGGTATTGACACCTGATTTTTAGCTCATTTTTTTTGGTCATATTTTCAAAAATCTCAAAATTAGGACTAGGAATCTTGGCCAAGCCTAAAAACCTATTTCTAAACCAAAAAAAATAATTTTTTAGCATTTTCTTGCATTTTTCCTTAATTTCTTTTAGTCAAAATAAATGAGAAAATCAAGAAAAATAGTAAATGGAATCAGAAAATTCCATAAAAATAGTCATTAGTCCTATTTTAAATTCAATTTCATTAATACATCATCAATTTTGAAAAATCTCAATCAGGTATATGTTTTTCCCAAAATTGGGCAAAATTAAACCCGAATTGAACCAAAAATGCAATTAAATTTTTTCTAGTCATTTTTAAGTCATAGTGTCTTCACAACAAATGATTCTCGGACCTCAAATTGCATACTGGTCTGTCCAATTGCACAATTTGTCAAAGAAATCAGAAAACCCCAAAATTTAATTGAAAATTAAGAATTTTGAGCCCAAATTGGGAATCGTGCCCAATATGAAATTGTCGAACCATGAGACTATCATTTCTAGGGTTAATCAGATGTGGGTAATTCAATTTTGGCATCAATTTTGCCTAATCATGTCATTAGGACATCAAATTGAACAAAACCCTATTAACCCGAATACAAAAATGTGAAAATCTTAGACACAATTATAACAAAAATTGGGGAAAATCACATATTTGGGTTCGGAATGTGATGAGAAATTCAATTTTGGGGTTTAATTTTAAAAATTGTGTCAAAATTGAGCTTAATTGGCTAATTTAGACCAACCTGGGTCTGCAGGGTCGACCGGGTCGACCAGGTCAACCCGACCCGACCCGGGTCGGTCACCTTCTTCGCCCGACTCACCAGACCGCATCAATCCCAGAAAAAAAATGTTTCAAGCCAGCGACTTCGCCGATCCTTTCCGGTCAATTTGGCACGTGACAATCGACTGGGCCAGCTGGAAAATCTCAAGCTGGCATCAGTGAACCGATATAACCGATCGAAAATTGGTTCTAACCGAATTTGGGCGGGATTTTTTTATCAACAAAAACCAAGAAAAAACTGAACATTGAGGAGGAGGTGTTCGACGAAAATCCAAAGAGAGAGAGGAGAGAGAAACAGGCGAAACCAAAGAGGAAAAGTTAGAGAGAGAGGGTCTGAGGTTCCCACCCGAGCGTCCGGCGCTGCCCTAGACGGTGGAGCACCGGCAAATCGGGGTTTGGCAGTAACCTCCCCTCCTTGTTCCAGTCCGATTAGCTGATCGTCAAGGTCTGAAAGCTGATCTCATTCGGCGTGTTCTGACGCTTTCCGACGAAGCCGAAGTAGCCAGATTAGAGTCCAAGTGACGAAGAACAGCTCCATGGGTTCCGATTAGCCCGAGAACTTCGATTTGTCATCGAACGAAGAAGGTAAACATTGTTCATAGTCACGGTTTTCCCAAAAATTTCCAGAATTGAATCTTATGCTCGTGTGATTTCGTTGATGATTTTTTCGCATTTTGATGTTTAAAACATGTTCCTAATCACGTTTTATGTCTTTTGATTACATTTTGTTGGATAAAACTGCATAAACCGAACCGGTTGTCCATGAACCATCTCGCCGGAGTTCATTCAACCCTCACCGGAGCATTGCCGTGGCCGTAGGGCCATTCAAGTTAGCTTCCTTGACCTTGTTTGATGTTTTGTTAGTCATTGGAACCGAGTTAGACGGCTAGGGCGAGTAGGATAGTTATTCAGATTCTAAAAAAGTAAATCCTAGCCAATGAAAGTTAGTGTTTTAGAGACTGGATTTCGCCAGCCGGCGAAGGTCTGGCGACATTCCGATTGGGCTAGATTGGTAATGGGTAATGTGGACTTTGTAGTGAATTAATCGGAATGGCAAAATACTCACCGGAAGGTCGCCGGAGACGGGTTCGAACCGGTGGCCCCAAAAATGTTCAATACAGAAATATGCACACCAGATGCTCGGGGAAATGCCCCAATGAAATTCCTTTGAAACGGCACTGTTTCGGTGCTGTGCCCGCCGGAGAAGATGACCGGCGACTGGTGCCGGTGACGCCCGGTTCGGCCAAGCCGAACCGAGTTGAACCGAGCTGGTTCGGTTCACCACTTCAGCGGGAATTTTAAAAAATAATAAATAAATAAAAAAATCTAAAAAATTCATAAAAATTCATAAAAACATAAAAAAAAATTGAAAAATTGAAAAAAATCAGAAAAAATATAAAAATTTTAGAAATTTAGAAAATTTCGGAAGAAATAGGAAATTCATAGAAAAAACATAAAAAAACATAAAAAAAAAATTAGAAAATTCATAAAAATTAAAAAATTTTCAGAAAATTCATAAAAATTCAGAAAATTCAGAAATACAAACAAAAAATGTGGAAAATTTAGAAAATCAATAAAAAATTGAAAAATTGGAAAATTCATAAAAATTTTTAGAAAATCATAAAAATCAATTCTCGGTTAATGAAATTTTCCAAAAAAAAAATCAAAATTTTTTAAAATTCACAGAATGGTCCAAAAACACTATGGCCAACCATAAAAAGTGAGATTTAAATTTTTGGAAGTGCCCAAGTGGCATTTTTAGAAAATCTCAAATTCAGAGGT